GTGATTGTAAAGGACTGTTGCTACAGAGGCAATGATGAAAGATCTTCCCCATGCTGCTCTCCTGCAAAACAAAACTCTTCTTTCTCCTTTCTTCCCCTTTCCAAAAGGTGTAATACAAATGTCCTCACCATCTAGACCTTCTAGGGTGTTTTTTTTTTTTTTCTTTGCATTGCAAGTAAATGGTGCTGGGAGCTTCTTATTCAATAGCTGGGGAAAGGAGTATCAAGATGAGTGATGTGAATTATTTAAGCTGCTGTGAATTTTGTCAGGGATAACATGCAGTGCTGCATCTTGCCTATATTGAACTAATTCAGACTGTTGAATTGCAACAAGCCAAAGCAAATTTTTATTTTCCAAGACTCCATAGTGTAAGAGCACAGCCCTCAAACAGCCTATGAAGACCCCCCCAAGAGTGTCTAAGAAAATTTACTGCTGCTTTTAAAATAGAGATGGTTTGGTTGTGCCTTTCAGTTTTGTGGTCTTTCAAAAGGTTAAGTGTTTGGTATTTTGCTGAGCTTTAAGTCATTAAGTATAAATTATATATATGTATTCTTTTGAAGAGCTTGTCTTAAAATAGTCTTGTTTCAGTGCTGGCTGGTTTCCTAGAGCCACCCTTCCAACACAGGCTGTGGCTGGGTATGTAAGCCCTTCCCCTGGGGATGGCTGCCTCGAGTGACCTGCCGTCCCTGCGGGGCAACGTGATCACAGCCAGTCTCCGGGCAGTGGTTGCCGTACAATATATTCATGCCACCGTTTACCTCAAGGTAAATGATTTATGTTCCCGTGACCTGAGAAAAGCTGTCACATGCTGTGAGCGCAGCATCATGCTCTGGCTTCCGGCCAGAATTACCTGTCTGTGCTGCTTGTGAGCATGGGCGCTGTCACCTTGCTCTGCAGCCTGGGGCTGAGGCTGTTGGCAGGACGGGAGCTTCTACCCTAAGCTATCTTTCACTTAGAGTTCCCTTGGCTGTGTTTGATGCTGGCGGACACCGGGACCCAGCACAGAGACCTCCCCTGGGTGCTGTGGCCTGCCTTTGGTTTCTGCCTTAAATTGCCATCTACCTCTGCCTCTGGACTGTGGACATGTAGCAGCTACTGGCTAGACCTGTGCATGCGAAGGGTTTAAAATAGTGTCCTGCTACTGCTGCCTCTGATGACTAGTGCCTGTGCATGCGCTGTTTTCCAGCAGTTATGTTAATGCAGCTGTGAACGTGAAGCTATGAGCAAGTATTGACAGGAAAATGAAAAGAACCTGTGGGTGGATTAGCTTCTCTCTCCTGCTCGGGAGCAGCAATGCTGCTATTTGATGAACTAGTGAATGAATTGGCAGGGAAAAAGAAGCAAGTCACCTTAGCTTGCTGTTCTCCTCAGTAGTAATGCTGTCTCCATCCACGCTCAGAGGTTTTCAAGACCAGACCAGGTAAAGTCCTGACCAGCCTCATCTGACCTCATAGCTGCCTTTGCTTTGAGCAGGAGACTGATCTACACACCTTCTGAGATTCCCCTCCATCCTGAATTTTTCTGTTGTGCAGTGTCCATTTGCAAGTGTGTGCTCCAGCTCTGCTAATAACTTTACCTGCAAGTATTAGAGCCTGATGATATACTCTCTTCTCTTGGGAAGGACTGGATAAAAGGTTGGGAAATAAGCTTTCATAAAATGCCCCCTTTTAGGTTTCCGTGAATGCTAGATGCTAGCAGTGTGTTTCATTTGCAGGAAGGATTTTCAGTCAGTTATACTTCTTGTAAACCTTTTTTGGTTTTATTTTTGGCATAAATGCAGATTAGCTTTAGAAAGAGAGAAGAAGGGAGAAAGATTATAGAGAGATCAAGGAAAGAGATGAAGCTATGGCAGAACTAGAGAAAGTGAATGGAAGCCTTATCTTTGTTGAGGAAAGAGAACCATTATTTCTGGGCATAGTAGGCTGCTGCCTCTGAAGTGGGTGGAAAGTAAATGGTTTATTCTCTTAAAATAACCATGAAATAAGTCTTTCATTAATTCTTAAACTTAGACCAAACTCCATTAGAAAGCTCTATTTTCACTATATATTTTTATGATGTTCGATATATTAAAAAAATGGACATCAGATTCAATAAAACTATTTTAAAGTAGATATAAACTAGTATTATCTTAACATGGTTGACTGTGATACCCACTAACGGCTTGGGTAAATACCTAACCCAAGCGGTTTTAAGAGTGAATAAATTTGTGCTTTTCCGGGAGGTCATGCTTTCTTGCTAAATGCACTATGCAGTATCGTGTATTTTGCAGGTGTCTGAGACTTCTGAGGGGGCTGTGCTAAATTCAAAATGGAAGAAGCAGGGAAGAGCTAGCGAGGTTCTTGCTAGCAGGGCTGGGCAGCCTAATTTGCACTGTTGTCACAGAGTGGTTGAGGACTCTGCCCTGGGATGGGGCACAGCAAGATGGGGAACCCTTTTGCTGTTGTTTTCTACTTTATCTACTGACTTTGCATTCTGCTTGCTCTAACTGCCCTTCTTACCGCATTTTTTGGTGGGGAAAATGGCCCTGTTGGGGTCTGTGGAGGATTTTATACCCTGACTGCATCAGTTCAGCACATGTGGTATTAGTGGAAAAAAGTGTGACTCATGTTGCATCATGTGGGTCATTTTCCTTTTTTCCGTTTACAAGTTGACAGTTGTGTGTGGTGTAGCCTGGTGTATCTGTGTGTTAATGCATCATGTACTGCTTGACATTTACAGAGGCATGGCTCTTAGTGGCAGGAAAAGATGGGAGGGTGCCAGCAGTGGCCTTTCTTACTTTTCTGGGGCTATTTACTTTGCCATCTCTGATCAGCTCCAGCTCTATCCTGTGCCCTGTATGGATGGACACGTTTGCTGTCAGTATTTGGGAGTCTGAGTGAGGACTGTTTGCTCTTTCTCCTGTATCTGAGCTTAGAGATAGTAGCTCCCTGCAGTGGGCTGCAGCACAGAAGTAAACGACTGTTTATCAGGCTGTTCTCTGACATCTCCCACAATAACCGCCCCCGCACAGGCTGTGCCACGATGGCTCTTGCAGCCTGATGAGGTGCTGCTTGTGTGTGGATGTTGGGGGGTTGTAGTGGGCTTCTTTTGGGGTCCTTGCCCCACTTTGCATGGAAAGGGGTGATGACTCTGACATAGACATGTTTTTGAATTTATGTTCAGTTGTGGGGGTTGATCAGAAATTCAGGACTAAATTAAAATTGGGGCAGATCAGAGAAGAATATTTGCAAGTTACTCATCATAGCTTCAGCACTTTGTAGCTCCTTATCTTTTTCTGTGTAGGGAGTGGATATCCTCCTCTCCCCCTCATGACATAGCAACAGGGTGAGGAAATAGAAGCTTTGAAATAATAGAGAGAAACATAATCGAGAGTTCAAGACTTTGCAGACAGGTTGGAAAACAAGGTCCTCTAATGCAAGATAGATATCGGTAGAAGGGTGAGAACATGGAATGGGGTGTTGTTAATATATCATCATACCCTCCCTCCCCCTTTTCATTTTGAAGTAAATCCATTCCCTCTGCTCCAGCCAGGCCAGCATTTCTGATAGGGTTTATCCTGCTAGATAGGTCCTTGGGGTCTGTGCTTTGCACTTCTGGGACATCTGACCTTCTTAGTGCCCTGAGTAAGCTGCTTGTGTCTGACTTGCATGCAAAACAGCAAGTAGGGAACCCCCAAGCATGGTTACCAAGGGGATAAAGCTTGAAAAGTAAACAAATGTAGGACTGATGGGGAACCTCAGACTCCTGCAGTGAGAATGCTCTGACCGCATCCTTCGTGGGAGGGAGATCTGGCAGCCTTTGCAGCTCCCTGGAGCTTGGGATGAGGCCGCAGGAGCACTGTGCTCAGGCGCCTGGGATTATGCTGGCCTAGGCAAGGACAACTCCTGGTGCGTGAGAAAGCTCCTCATGATGGGCAGAAACCCTGGGCTTACACTGCAGCAATCTAAATGACTTATTTTGGGGAGCCCGTCTAGACTGCTAAAATATAGCTTCTTTTCTTGCCACATTTGTAGACCTATATCAGGAATAATAGGATTTTGTTCTACACCTTGCATTTTTTATCCATTTTAGGGAGAGAATCTATTAGGAAACATGTATTAAACTGTTTACAGCTCCTGTGGGCTGCAAGACATACGTGTAGTTCCCTTTGGTTTAAAAGGCCTGACTTTCCAAGCAGTAGTATCATGCGCATCCAGTGTAGCCTAAGACCTGTGCAGATCAGTGCATAAAATCAGTGAGTGGAAATGTAGCATCCCCAAAGAGATTTGGAGATGTAAAGGATGTGGTAGCAGGTTGCCAGATACACAGACACACCAGCCAGGGGTCTGGTAATAAAAGATTTTCATGTCTGGACAATAGCTGTGGGTCTTCAATTAACTTATTCTATGTTTGTAAGAGGTAGAAGAAAGTTTGAGTAGTACAAAAAAAAATTTTTCTTCTAGGTAAAGAGATCAAATTGTGATTAAAGAATTTCTTGTGGCCTGCCAAGAGTTTACTCCATGTCCACTTGCAATTCACTTGTGTTCACATTTTCCAAGAGAGGCTTCAGATTTTTTACTTTGATATCTTCTAAGTTTTCTCTTAAACTATTAAGCTTCATGTGGAATAGTGGATGCCTAGAAAATATCAAACCAGGTTCCAGTTCCAAGGTGTTTCAGGAATGGCACTTTTGTTGCAGCACCCAAAACCTATAGCTGTCTTGGAAATTAAGCCCTTAATTTCTCTGCTTACTTATTGCTACCAGAAGGATTTTATGTCCTTTCTTTATAAGCCTTTGAAAGATGCTATAGAAGTGTGCAGGGTCACCATTAGACCTCAAATTTCCTTGTGTGCCTAAGAATTTTATGTTTCTGATGTTCGTGAAAGTCAGAAACCTTTGGAACAAGGGGAAAATCCCTGAATTTTTCACATAAGGAAAAGCTTTCCTAATAAATGAAAGGAGAAAACAACGATGTTGCTTTGTGTGGGCTTTGGCATGCAAAGATGCTGCTGTTTTGCAGGTCTGTCGCTGGAGCGCTCAACCAACTCTGTTGCTTCACGTGCTCGTCTATGTGAAAGGGAGGAGGAAGTCATGGCCTGTTTTGAGACAGCATGTGTCATTGCTCAAGTGTACTTGCAGGAGCTTGAAAAGGTAAGAAATGAGCTTGAAGTGTTTCTTGGTGACCTAGGTGGAACTTCCAGGAATTTTGACAGCAGGATTGTGGTGCGATGCCATGTACTCATAGACAATAAGGAGTAAAAGCCATTTCTGCGAGAGTTGGTGTCTCAGTATTTTAATGGGATGGCACAGCTTTTCTGTGTAACCAATTGCAAAATAGCTGTTTACCTGGTCTCTGACAATTTGCTCTGAAAATAAAGTATGGAAACCTGTTCTGTCTGCAGTAAAGCACTGAATGCTTCAGATATACTCAGGTCTTAGCTCAAGTTGAGCTCTTACTAAGGAGAGGTCACTAACATTTACCTGGCAAATGTCACCATGAAGAAATCCAAGACCTTGTACACATCTGCTGTGTAAGTACCCACAACAGGGGGCACTGAGATCCCTAACAAGCTGGAAGTACCACTTTTGGTTGACCGTGGCAGTTTAGCTGCCAAAGATTTGGCTTTTTCAGGTGACACTGGAAGGATCTAGCTCCCTAGCAAGGAGCTGGCACTCAGCAGTTGGCGAGGACGCCAAGATGGGTGCTGTGAGCCCCATGCCATAGCTCAGCTAGAGTCTCTGTGCATGAGGCTCTCTGCAGCTTTGCCTCGCTGCATTTAATGGGCACGCACCATAAGTGCCCTTTCTTGCACCACACTTTTTGTGCTTGACACGTAACGTGTCACCGACTGTTCAGTCTGTTAACTGTTACCTCTTCTGACCAGTTATTTTTTGCTGTCATCAGCAATAATTCCGGGTTTTAACTGCATTAAAACTAAGAAAACTGCTAAATATGTATATAAAAATGCATTAAGAAAGCCACCTGACAAGTTTTTAGTCTGTTCCTTTTTAAGAAAAGGCTAAATGATTTTTGAAATTCAGAATAATTAAGTGCTGTCCTTCACTTTCAGAAGGACAACCTCCTGGAAATAGCAGGTACTTTAACTGTTTTTACTGATAGCTTGTCTGCCAAATACAAAAAGAGTTTGAATTGCAATTCATTCATTTTTTGGGCCTGGAGAGACAAGGATGCAGGCTTCCTGACTGATGTACTGAAAGTCCATAGGTCTCCAGTTGTGGGTGAAAAACTCTGCCCTGAAGACTCTATAGAGGAAGACTTCCAGGAACAAAAGCTCTTTTTTTGCTAACATTGTAAGGCACAGTTTCTAAGAAAGCCAAAACTGAGAAGGGGTTGATGGGAGAAGCAGGAAAGGGCTAAGATTCTTCCATCAAGGCTTCTTTTAAAGATTTGTAGGAGAGGATTAGCTGTGTTGCGTTAGCTAAACACTCTTAAAAGTGACATTAATGCTTTGTGTGCAAGGTGTTGGGTTAATGTAGTTGGAGTAGCACTTGAGACACTCGCTGTTAGTGCTCAACTTCCTACTTACTTTAAAGTTGCAAATAACATTTCAAAACTCACCTTGCATACCTTCTTGTCATGGAAGTCATTGTATAGTTTCTTTCCCAACTGCCTTGAGAGGATTTTGAGTAGCTAATGAAGATAAGTTGTCAGGCAGTCTAAAGAAGAATCTGGTGATGGAAGCTAACGTTTTGTTGTTTGAGTTACCTCTTTGGCTACTAAGAAATGGCTATTCAAGCAGTTATTCTGTAATTCCATTGCTTGATCTCTCTTCCCCTTGCAGACCTTAAACAACACGCATTCAAGGAATTTAAAGGGCAGCAACGAGACTTACTCGGAGTTTGAACTGTCCTACTTCCTGGAAGCAGCTCTCCAGAGTGCCTATGTAGCCCGTTTAAAGAAGGGGTAGGTGAATGCACGTGTTTAATAAAAGTAGATAATAAGAGATAACGTTGAATGTTTTGTCTTAGGGCAAAGCTTGTTCCTTTGTATCTGTATTGCGCTGTTTTTTTGTCTGTTGTTGTTGCTGATTCACTTCAAGTTTCCTCAGCGTCCTTTCTTCCATCCTATTTCCCCATTTCTCTCCACCCTTAAGTAGGGTGGAGTTGAATAGTTTTGTTATTTTGGCACTGCTCTGATCCCTGTGGAGATGAGAGTTTGACCGCAGAGTTAGAGGGTGGAACTGATGAGTGCTTTTAGAAGCTGAGTGCTAAACCAAGCTAGATGGCTTGGTTTAGAGCTTTAAGTTCTTAATGGCTTTTTTGTTACTATTTCGTGGTGTTTTTTTCCCCTCTCAAGTTTTGGTCAAACCTGAAAATCTGTGTTTTTTACTAGAGGGAATGCATCCAGGAAGCACGGTTCTCCTGAAATACAGGTCTCGGTGAACCTCATACTGTCAAGAGGAGAGTTGGTATCTGCAAGCTTACAGTGAGCTTGAGCTGTGGGAAATGTTTTCAAGAACAATAAAAAAAAGAATTAGTATGCAGCCTCTTCAGGTCTCCTGCCCTGAAAACCAAATGCAACTTCAGAACGTAACAATTTGGTAGCTGATGAAGGAATTGGTGTGAGAAGAGAATGTCCTTTTTACTATATGTAAATATGATTAAAAGGATATGTAAATATCTTACATGCAAATATAAGATATTACATATGTAAATAATACTTATAAGAATCTGTCCTTCCTTAGTCTTGTGTGGATAGCATGGTATCCCACTTGTTTTCAGAAGTGCATGTTGATTTTTTTCCATTTTTCTGTGTGTGCTATCGCTGACCAACAATTTACAGCCTCTCCTTTTTTTTAATTATTAGCTAGTCATCTCTGAAAATACTTAATTTTGGTTACGTATTCATGTTTTTTGCTGAATAAAATACAGAAGCACAGGGAAATAGGAGAAAATGAGACAAAGGTGGAAAATGAAAGAAAAGTGGAAACAGAGCAAAAATCATGATTTAAATTATTTTTCGAAAATGGATACCATTTTTGAATCATTTAGTAAGAAGTTTGCCCTTATCGTGATTTTGTTTTGTTGTGTTTTTTCCCCAAGAATGAATTTACGTGTAATAACGAATAGTAGGGCCTATTCTTTCAAATTAAGCCAGGGTTAAGAGTCAGTATGTCCAGTGAAGTGCACTTGTAAGCATATTAAATGACTCTTTCAATCAAATGAACCATTTCAGTCAAATGCCTTCCTATACCAAGACAGTGCGGAGTTGTAAGTATGAGGCATAGACTCAGTATCATCTGAGTAACAGGGAACAGATTTTGTGGTTTTACCGTGGAGTAAAACCCCATGGATGGGGCCTGACCAGGCTATGTTGCCTATTGCTGTCTGCATGGCAAATAAGTCTCAGCTCTTGCCAGTAAACTCCTTAGCTAGGTAATAAAATAAAATCTCCTTTAAAACGTATGGCATTGAAGCACGTTTTGAATAACAAACTTGCTCCTTTTCTTTTCATTTGGCAGCATTTTACATTCAACCTCTGAGTTCAGTATATCCAGTGGACTTTTTAGCTGCCACTCTGGGCACTACTTGCTCCCTGCCCATGTTATTTTAATGATGGCCTTAAGAGGGGTAAAAAAAACCCTCCACAGGATTGTAATTTGGAATCAAAATACCTGTGTGAATTAAGCATTGCCTTTGCTATAAGCTGCATTGCTGCAACAGCAGCAAAATGTTCCCTGAGCCCATCTCCAGATGAAAGAACTGTCATGTTAATTGCTGTGGAGCTACGTGGATACAACAAAATCTCATTCCCCTTCCTCTGCTTCCAGCACAAATTGGGAATCTGGGCCAATAAGCCTAGAGGGCCGGTGGGAGGGAGATGCATGGAGTTGAGAGTGTGCAGCTTGTCCCTGCGTGCGGTGGCGTGTCTCGGTGAGTGCTTCTGCCGCGAGAGGGCACAGGCACCATTGCGATGTGCTTGGGGAGGAGAAGGGAAATGGGGGAAGGGAAGGAGAGCTTTCACGGGTATGACGATTCCTCTGCCTGACACTAAGCAGCTCCAAGAAACACTTTTGTTCTCCTTGTGGCTTTCAGGTAGAAAATAGGCCCTGAATGCCCACGCTGACAGGGGGAGTTCTTGAAGGCTGGGATGTTCCTTCCCACTGCTACATGTTTACAGAGAAATTGGCAGTGACTTATCCTTTTCAGGAGAGCCCATGTCAGGCAGATGAACTGAGGGATATCTGTGGTGCTCTGCTTTTGCACTTGCTCCTGCTGGCAGCCTTTCAGAGTGAGTCAGGGATGCATTTTTCTTTAAAATTTGCAGTGAAAAGCAGGCACTGGTGCACCTTCTTCCTATGCATCCACACAGAGCCAAGGTCCCTCCTTCTCCTCGCTTGTAAGGAATAGCAAGTCTTACAGCTGTGGAAATCCCAAACACTCTGCATACACATTTAGTACGGTGTTGCTGCAGGCAAATCTGCAATTTTTTTCCCTGCCACACTGTCTGAAAAAAGGCTTTATTTTATTCTTTCAGGGAATAGCATTGCTGATGTGGATGCAGACTGTGTCTGCAGGCAGATGTCTTTACTGCAGGAAGCAGCCTGCTATGCTGGATTTGGGATTTTTTTTCACTTTTTTTTTTTCTCTCTACTAACATGTGGAGATGAGGTGTCCTTTTATTTCATGCTACAAGTATTATTACCTTATACTGTTAGGGAGCCTTTGGACTCTGGCTCTATTGGGCTAATCCTAGTAGTCTCTTGGGGTAAATGGAATTCGCCTGTGGTGTTTTTGTTTAGCAGCATTTGAAGGATGTATGGAGTTTCACATGGATAAGGAAAAAGCCAGAGTTTTCCAGGGGAAGTAGTCAATTTAAGAAGCCCTGCATGGGCTGCTTCTGAAGAAACTGGCTTTCTGAAAAACAAGTGTTAAACACTTATAAAGTATCATATTTCTTTATGGCCTCTCAGTTAAGGACCTGAATTACTTTGAAAACCCCTGATGAAAATGCCTACTGAGGAACACTTTTGCACTGTTGCTTCCTCTTTCCTCCCTCTTCCTGTTGGTTGGCAAGCAGCCTCCCTTTGTGTTTGAGATCTTATAGGCTTCTGCTGCAGGGACCCTTTCAAAGAGCAGCTCCATTTCCGAGTTGCTTTACAGCAGAATCTAATGAACGAGGGCAGGCAGGGCGGTCTCCCCAGGCTGCTCTCCTCTCCTGAGCAACCTGCATGGCCTTTCTTGACAGACTTCCTGTGTCGTTTATCTCTTCTTTGGTCTTCTTGTCTGGGATAGGAGCTGGAAGTCTGGGAGTAAGTCTTGCTGCTGGTTGGGTGGGTCTAGGTAAGTGCTAAGCTCTGTCTTGTTGAGAGCCTCGCTTCTGCTAGGCTGCTCTCAGGGAACTCTAGTGTGCCTTGGCTTGGCGACCTGGCTTGTCTGGGGTCTCCATAGCAACATGAGGTCTCTTTTAGTTGTGTTTTGTGCCTATACGTGAACAGCTGTTCAAAGAGAGAGTACGAATTTTTAGAAACCTGCCAAAGAGATGCTAAGGTTCAAAGGCAGCTGTGTAAGTGCTGCTGCTGGCCGAGTGGGCTGGGTACAGCTTTCCTCTGGAGAGATGGAGCTGCAAGCTGTTGGGTGGACAAACAGGCATCTCGGGATGATCCCCATCATCTCTGAGGCGACCTGTCTTCATGGCTGCTGAACAGGGACTAAGAGCGTGATCTCCTAATGCTGTTGTTGGGGAACAGTCTCTGCAGAGCCATGTTCCCAAGGTCCGCTTCAGTTCATCACCAATATTTGTGTATTCATTTGTACAAAAAAAAGTGTTTATCTTCATGGATTTTAAAAACAGAAATGTGGTATTAATCAAATGATATGACTTAAATTATATGAGTGTTTTGATTCATGAACTGCTAATTAATTACTCTGTATTAATAGGGTATTTTTAAAACCAAAGCAGGTTCCATGCTAAGGTGCTCTCTGCTGTCACAGCTTATACCTACAGATTTCCTTGCCCTTCTTTATTAAATAGGCTGTAATTGAATCCAAAACCATATTTCATCGTGGTTTTTCAAATGCTCTTTTGCCACTCTTGTGGCTAAAGCCAAAGCAGTTTATTTAATGACCACATACTTTTCCTCCTTCCTTTTTCATTCATCTTAGCAGTGCAGTAGGGCCATATGGAGGCTTTCAGCTCTTTAAATTTCTGTGGCCAAGTGTTTGCTTCTGCTGCCCTGCTTTGCACGTGCGCTACCTGGAATATCTATGGAGCCTCTCTCCGAGTCCTGAGGAGGCTCAGGATTGCTTAGTTTCAGATCAAGACAAGGTCAAGTGGATTCAGCACAAGTTGCCAAAGGTTATATATGCTCATCTGCATCTGCTTAATTCTGTTGAATCTATTCTACTGACTTCTTTAGGTCCCACTTTCAACAGTCTCTTTAAGTGCATCTTTAACATAGGAATAGTCCCTGTTGCTGTGAGCAGAGCAGCTCAGGTGTTGAACAGGAGATGTGTGCCCAGATGGTCTCACGGCTCCAAGTGCTGGAGTGCAGCAAGATTTGTGTGCAGGCCGCTGGCAGGGTGCCCTGTCACCTGTCGTGACTCGCTGGTGTGCAGTGAAGTTCAAAACAAAAAGCTGCCAGACAGCATCCTTGCTCCTGTAGCAATGCGTTGGAATCAAACACTGTGCGTTTTGCAGGCTGCCCAACTGCTCAGAGCCAGGAGCACTGAGAGCTTCTGCCTAGGAAGTGTGCGGTGGTGGCAGCTTCTCCTGGCTTGCCAGTTTTTGCCTTGCTCCCTTCCTTTGAACGTATTTCAACCCTGGCTAGTTGTGAAATGACAGCAATTTATCTTTAATTTTTCCATTCAGTTCAGTTTGTCTTATTTCCTCTACCCACAAAGCAAGCTACTCGGGGAACTTTTTCTTTTTTTCTTGTGACTTTTTCTTTAGGTTTTTTGTCTCCATGTACTGTCTCAAAAATGGCATTCATGGGCTTTGCAAATGGTCACTAATCTTCTCTCTGACACTAGTTAATGGCATTCATCAAAACCTTATGCAAACAAATACCATTGCAACAAGAAGCCTAAAGCTACGTGTTTTTAAAGTGTTGTGGGACAATATTGCAGCATAACTGCTCTTTCCAGCCCCATATGCAGCCCTAAGAGGTACAGGAAATGACAATGTTTTTAACTAACTGAGGGGAGTAATTGGGGAGCTCCTTTTTATATATTTGGGGGAATTTCTTGTTTTAATTATCAGATAGTGGAAATCTGAGATTACTCGGGAGGTAACAATAATTGCAGAACTGATTTATTCTCAGTGTACGAACAGTTCTGTTGGCTTCAATTGGCTTAAGTGCTTCGTTAATGTCCACAATTGCATCTGTGTGTAAATATTGTCTTCCCCCCTGCCCAAAAAATCTACTCGAGGTCTTTGCCTCTAATTGGAGAGTGCTGAAACACTGAAGTCCAAGCAACTTAAAAACAAACAAACAAAAAACAACAACGACAAAAAAAACAACTTGAGGTTTTTTGTCTTTGATAAACATCAAGGTCATTACTTCTGGTCTAGTAGAAGAAAAAAAAGAGAAGGGATTATCTCCATAGAGACAAATCTCCAGTGATTTTTTTTTCCCATCTTTTTTTTTTCATCTTGTCTGGTTGTCGTATCAGAAAAATCAGGACTTTTCTAGTGATTTGTATTTCTCTGGGCAGCTTCTACCTGTACTCATTCCATGAAAATGAGTAGCTGTCCTGTATCTCTTTTAGCTCCCCTGGTGTAAGCACCAGGGCTTTATACTGGAAGAGCTTCCAGGCTGCAAGTGTGTTGCCCAATCTGCTCAGTGTTAAATTTTTCCTGTTGCCTCCTCTTTCAGCGCTCACAGTACAATTAAGATACCACTTGACAACAAGGCTGCTTGAACTGCTCATGGTCTACGCAAAGTAATGTGATTTTTAGCTTAACCCTCTTTCATTGCAGGTTAAGCTCTGCTTGCAGACAGTTACTACAACTCAGCTGGCTGATAATAAGCTGCTTAAACTCCTGTAATTTCATCATGTGCCTGGACCATCAGGCACAAGGCATTTAAGCACCACCTAAAAGGAATCATCATTTGAAAGCATCACATAAGCTCAGTATAATTCAAACAAGTGCAGTCTGTATGTATGAACGAGGAATGTGGATGCTTTTAAGAAGAAGCATCTGCTTTATAAACATGAGCTACGAAAGGCTTCCAAATGTCCCCTCTGTTCCTCAAATGTGAATGTGATCTTCTCCCAGGAAGCCATCTGGAGCAGGCAGCTCCAGTCGCTGCCTCGCTCGCTGCCGTTGTCCTAGCGGTGCCTCTGAGCGACTTGTGTCGCTGCCGTGCACCCTGCCTGCCGGAGTGATCGGGGTTTCCTTGGTTTGTTGGCCTCAGTGTCAAGCTTGTTGCCCAGCTTTGGCTCGTCGTAAGAATATTTCATGTCAAACATGTTCTCTGTTTTTGTTCTGATTTTTTTATTTTTTGTACCTTCACCTTTAGAAATATTGTGAAAGGAATGAGGAGTCTACGAGAAGTGTTGCGGACCGTGGAAACAAAAGCTACTCAGACCTTCAAAATGGTAAGAGGAATGAATGGGAAGGTGGTGTAATCGGCTTATGCAGGAGTTCTCTCTGTTTCTTAACTGTGACAGTACGACAAAAATTATTTTTTCTTTTGTTGACTGATGCCTCACTTGGTCTCCTGTGAGTGCTGTGTGTAGTGATGCACTTAATTCAAGGAGCTGTCCAACTGAAACTGCTGAGCCTTCGGACCCGGACATGTGGGCTGCTTTGTGCTGAAAGCTGTGCTGGTTTTCTGCAGTGTGATTTCTAGCCGTGGTATGAAGGGAGGTGTATTCAGCCTGCCATTGCTGTCTCCAGGTGATGTCTCATTTTTTCCTCCCCCCCCTTTTTTTTTTTTTTTTGTGCATGTGTGCACAGCTTTTACATTAGCATGTAGCAGCACTTAGTGCTTCTGCTTCTTGTAAGAAGCTGGAAGTTCTATTTAGGCTGATGTATTTCAGTGTTCCTGTAAAGGTCCTTTCAATGTGGTACAGTCCAGGATGATTTTATTTTTCCTTTTTGGTGAGGAGGGGGAGCGGGGATGTTGGCATTCTACCTCCCCTTATTCTGAGTGTCTCTGGCAAAGAAATCATGGAGAAATGCCCGTTTAATTGCTTAGACATTTAAATGGATCTTCCCTGTCTCCCCTTTAAGAGGTCTTGCCTTGCCTTGAAGTTCCTCTGGAGGTGATAGATCAACAGCATACAGAATAGCTGTTTTAAGAACATGAATGAAAACTGTGAGCTGAAAACCACAAATATTGATATACCAACCTTTGTGCTTGGTCAGCTTCATTTGTGTAACCTCAGAGAAGCTCTGAGAAGGAGGCAGACAGGGTTTGCAGTCTGGAGGTGGAGAGTGCCAGGTTCCAGTGACCTACGGTGTGTCTAGCTCGCATGCAGATCCAGGGCTAGCCTGAGAGAGAGACTATAGAAAGCGTGTGCAGCGTGCACTTTGTCACCTGCATTTCCCTGGCTTGGAATGATGCTCACTTCTGTCACTTTTTTGTATTATTTTGGGATTTCTATGCCTTAGGTGATTCCCCCCGCACCCCCTTGTATCACCTTTTATGTCTAGTCAAGGATACAGATGCATGTGGAAGTCTGTGTGGGGCACTAGAAAAGGTAACTTAAATAATTGTCACACTCAAGTGATCATATCCTCTTCTAGATTGAGATCAGGACTCGGGGGAATTTCTTGCTCGCCTTTTTTATTGTTTTGCCGAAATGAATATGACCATCTGCTGTTCCTGTACCGGAACAGAATGTGGCACACGAAGGCTCCTGTCCCCATGCTGCTCGGGAGCTGCACAACACCCCGGAGGGGATTTGTCCATAAGGGGAAACTTGCAGGTGTTCATCCAATAGCTTTTCCTGCCATTGCCATTTTACTGGAAGTTGTATTTTCATTTACTTCTGTATTTTTAAAGAGCTGTCAAGAGGGCAAAAGCAGGAACGTGCTTAATTAAACAAGTTTTTCAGGCATGAAAGTGAAACACATGATTTTTTTTTTCCCCTCATTTGTGGGATCACAGTGTACTCTAAGCATAATGATGCTTAAATGCAGTAATAACATAAATCAGAGTCTTGGCATGTTCTGCTTTGTTTGGTCTTATTCAGAACAAGAGTGAAGCTAATTTACAGGGCTACCATGTTAAAGTGTATGTTAAAGTCAAAGGCACTAGGAGTATTTGGCGCTTGTCTTGAAAGGCTGATCCCAAATTGTGTTCTTAGTTCTGTGCAAACAAGTAGAAATCTTTCCATTACTGCCACTTTTTTTTCCCCTTCCCTCTAAGGCTGTTGAAAAAAAATATAGGAGAGTTGGGTCCTCAGGGTAAAACTGACTAAATAATTACACACTGAGATGATAAAATGATATTGGCTAATGTTGCAGTGCCCAAGGCCATTTTGCTCATGGTTACTTGCTATAAAAAGCATAGAAGAGCCCAGTTAAAAACAGAAGGTTTTCTGTAATTTGTCAGTAAGAGCACACGGAGGTCTCAGGATTTCCAGGGACTTGTGTGAGACATGATTTCTTTGAGGTACCCCCAGACATTCAAAACAGTTTGCTGTTTTGCTGAGTGTGTCAATGAAACCGCTTTCTGATATTTAAGAGACTATGCTCGCTAGTGCAGTTGCGTTTTAGATTAACTTGGTGACTTCTTGTGTCAAGATTAAAATAAAGAGCTTTGCATCAAATGCATTTTTTTTTCCTGGAACTTTCCTTTAACCTGAGTGTAATTTATTTGGTCCTATAGATGTCGTGCCTGAACAAATCAATCATACTGTCCCCGATTTTAAAACTGAAGCAGCTCTTGGTGACTTCATACTACATCTTTTATGTGTAGCTTTTCTTGCAGGGGGTGTGTGCAGTTCTGGGTGTAAATTGTGAATAAAATGCAAGTATTAGGACAGAAAATGTGTTTACATGTTCCGTGCTATATTTGGTTTATAGTAAAGCATGCAGTGGTTTTTAGAATTCCTAAAAGATACCTTTCCTTTGTCTTCTCTGTACATGTTTCCATGCATGTCTGCTTATGATGCAAAGAAATAGAGGTCTGTTTGATGTGCCTAAACAGGGACAAATGCCAAAGAGAGTTTTGTAAAATAAAGTTGACTTGCTCCGTTTTGGACCAAGCTTGCCAGCTTTGGAGTGTTACGTTAGGGATATGAGCTGGAGAGCAGGTATTCAGGGCCCCCTAGCTGCTTGCTGCTCTAAAGGGGGCATGGTTATTGTCGTTTCAACGTAAGATTTCTAACCTTCTTCTCACTCTGTTACTGCAACAAAAAGAAAAGAGAAGCAGTACTGAGCTGAAGCTGTTGAAGCTTGCAGGAAGAGAGACACAGACAGCTAAATGTTTGTGCTTTTAGGATAGGAAGCAGCCCCTGGGCTGAGCCTTGCGTGCAAATCCTGATGCTGAAAAAGCAACAGCCATCGTACTCTAACATAATAACATTTGCAAGATAGTTTGAGCTGTCCATGTGGCGATCACTTGTCCACGTTTGCTAATGTATCACTTGCTCTCAGGCCTTTTTCCTGCTGATGCCTATGTGTGTGTGCATGCATATATATATATGTGTATATATATATATATATGTATGTATTTTTCCCTACTGCCTTGCACTAAGACTGTGTAAATGCAGAAGGAGAGTCTTCGCAGAGGAGGAAAGCAACTCCAACTGCTGCTGTTGACTTTATTTTTATCAGCAATTTTAGCTGCTTCATCTCTTAACTGAAGAACGCAGAGTTCTGTATTGTTGTTGGTACGTCTGCTTCCAGAGATGGGAAGTGGGGAGAGGATGATCATGCGTGTGAGAAGGCTCCACTGATACCTCTTTCCCATGTTGTTCACTCATCTTTAGACTGCAGCCAAACAGCTAGCCCAAGTGCTTCTCCATTCCTTAAGCGAAGACTGTTATTGGAGCCCTTTATCCGATCCTCTTCCTGAGTTCATGAACAAGGAAGATCAGTCTTATATTAGCAATCTTCTTCATCGGAGGCCTCAGCTATACGCAGGAGAGAAGTAAGCACTTTCTGTTGTTTTGGTTTATTGTCAGAAGGAAGAGTGAGCACTCTTTGGTATTGCTAATTATGTCACTGATTCATGTAGCTGTTCTGTGTGCTTTCATTTTTAACTTTTCATCAAAAGGTCTACTTTAAAAATAAAACATTAAACCTGGAGTGTTTGATATCTTTTTTCCACAGGAAGGAAGAAAAAACAACCAAATAGTTGCCTTTGCTGTGAAAAGGAAATAATCTATTTATGGTTCAGAATAGCTCATCTAGGGTATGTTGTAGAGCTTTTAATTGTGTGAACCTGCAAAAGAAGCTATTGCCTAACAAATGAATCATACATGAGATGTTTCAAGTTACTGCGGCTGTTGTGAACTGAGAAAAAGGCTGATAGGGATAATTCTTGACCTCCTTCAAAAAACATGTTTTGTCTTTCAGCCTGTACTGCCCTCAAGACAACGTAGAAGAGGCTCTTCTTCTCCTCTTAATCAGTGAATCTATGGTAAGCCAAAAATGAGTTTCTAATAATAGTGGCATGAGGGAATATCTAGCATTTCCATGGCAAGTCTTTTGGAGCACTTTTGCACAGTACAGAGAATCCCCACTTACAAAATCTTTCTCAGATAGCCAGAAACAGTCAGCTGCAGGACAGGAAATGCTATTTCTTCTTCCTTAGTGACACCATATTTACTAAACGGAACTTCATGGTGGGTTATAGGGAACTATCAAGAAGAGCATTTTTTTTTTCTGTTTCTTTTGTGTTTCTGAAACTGTTTGAAGGGGCTTAAGCTTGCAGATTTTTTCTCTCTGAACACCCACCTACATTATTTCTTCTGTTTACAAATAATTACATTGCTTATAACAAAAGAGCATTAAATTAATAAACTCCCCGATGCTTCTGAACACACAGAACATTTATTAAAAAATAAAGACAAAAATGGAAGTGTATCAGTTAAGATTACTAGTATGCAATCCTATGTTGCAGTCTTTCATGCAACATAGGATTATGTGGTGTTCTGCCTGACACCTATTACAATGTGAACGACTTCGTAAAGAAAGAACCCAATAGAATGTTCTTGTTTTTCAGAAGGAGGAAATGCCTGTTACCAAGAAATACAGACTTTGGAGTGAAATAAGCTGTACGTTTTTAGGACCTAAGAATGGGTAGTAAGAGAATGGAAGTGTATGAAATTCTCGTGGATTTCTGTCTGTGAACATTATGCATTTTCTGTGTGTGAACCTTATGAAGTTATTCAAGGCTGATCCCATAGTGTTCTAACTCTTCCAGTTTGACCTAACCTCTCAAATATGTATTTAATTTTAAGTATCACAGTGGTCCTGTTATCTTTGCTTGAATTGGTATACTTAAACTGAAATACATGCATACCTGCCCTTGCTGAATTTGGCCAGAATACTCTGAATCCTTTGAGATTGATCTCTGTAGGCAGAAATTTTTTGCCTTTACTATAGTTGCATGTAATGTTCAGGAGACAGATGTTTCCATTCAAACACTCTAAATGTGTGGACCTATGGATTAAGAATGGGAGGAATTACAATGCTAGGCATGATGGTGATTCCTGTTAATGGATGTTTGCAGAGTACAATAACCTGTTATTCCTTAGTCTGCAGGGATACTATTTTAGCTGTTTCAGTCTGAGTAGCATTTGCTATTTATGGTGCTGATGATAAAGAGGGTCTTGTCATGTGCAGAAACATTCATTATGAATGCACTGAAACAAATAGATTTCTTCTATTTATAGCATCAGTTTCCGACAAAAGTCTGAGGGAAAGGAAAAAGGAGGGGAAAACACTTGTCTAGAAAATGACAAAGTAACCTTTGGTACCTTTCAGGTTCTGAGTAGATGCAAACCTACAGGAAAACTGAAGATTTTTATCTGAAAATGTGTAAAGAACGTTGTTTAAATTCTGGGTAGTCATTTATAATCAAAGTGAAATTTGAAGAACTCGGAGCATCACTGACCCTGTTACAGAAGAGCTTGCAGACAGTTTTCAGGCAAGGTGAAAGAGAGAATGTCAGGCAAATACAACCTTTCTGTTTTTATTTTTGGCTACTTGATTTTATTTATTTTTTCTTCTTTGGCTCAAGGCATCTCCTTACCTTCAAAATTCTGAAAGAAAAACTTAACAATTTTATGTAGTCTACCTTTGGAATTAAGGAAGAAAATGAGGAAGCAACGCCCCACAAAACGTGACACTGACTTAACCACGTTCATTTGAGCGTTATTATACTTTGCATCTCTCTTGTATTTTCAAGGGCTTCTCTGCAATTAGAAAGTCTTGCTGTAGCTGGAAGTGGAGAAATACATTTATTTCTTGGACTCTGTGAGCTAGTGCTTTTAGAACATCACAAGCAGCGTTAGACTTCTGATTAAACTAAGAAGAGCTCCTGTCAGCAGAGCTGCTCCGAGCAGGAGGGCAGGGTCAGGGATCTAGAGTGGTGTCAGCACCGACTGCTGCAGCCTTCTCCAACGCTGGGCTCCCTGTCAGAAAGACCTTGTGGGACCTTGAATGCTGCAGTTTTGTTCTGCTGAGGGGAATAAGTTTTCTATTTTATTCGGTATGTGAAATAGCAGCCTGACCCCATAATTATGTTATGAAAGAAGCAGCATAAAAATGCTGTTGATAGGGTCTGGACTGCTGTGCTCACTTCAGGACTAAATAAGAAAGCTTGTGCTTACTTTAGTGCTGTCTTCTATATATGGGGCCTTTCTGGAGGTAAATGCAAGGCATTTTGATCTGCTGTACATAAAGCAATAAATAATTAACGGTTCCATAGTGAAAGGCTGCAGGAACCATAAATTATTTTGGGGGGTTTTGGGGAACCAAAACTGGAGCCTTCCTCTTGTGTTAGCGTTGTGGGGCTTTGTAGCATTAGACTTGCCAAGAGTTTATCATCACGTTAGTGAAAATATAGGACACGTGTACAGAAATAAAGCTACAACAGGAATGTGTTTCCTAAATAAAGGAATAGAGGGAGCGATCTTATTTTTCAAACATATTTGAAAATCATAAACATTTGCCTGCAGTTCTGCTATTACAGTAACTGGAAGGGGAGAAATTTTGTTTAGTACATGACATATGCAACAATAGCATAGTCCCTTTCAGGACTGGAAGGCAAACTGTGTTCAGTCTAGATGCATTTTCCTGATTTTCAGCACTCCAAAAGGAGCTGAAGTGGAGCAGAATTGGGCAGGTAGGGCACACAGAAGGATCATCAGCACGTGAGGGACAAGCAGAGCAAAGACCTGCTGGGGAAGAGCATCATCACAGAACCACAAAGCAAATGCATGAGAAATTTGGTGAACACAGGAGAAGGAGAGAGGGTTATGTGTTGAGTTTTATATTTTTGAAGAAATAAACAGCTCAGATGTTTGCCCTCTGGCCCCGAGCAATCCAGTTTCACTGACTCTGCCTCTGAGCTGAAGTATGTAAGGGAATTTTTTTCTTCTTTTTAGATGGATGAATGGCAGAGTAGAATTCTTTTGTAGCTTCAAAATGTGTCTGTAGCTTCATATTAAACAGGGCCTGTTTCATCTCTGCAGTCTTCGGAGCTGTTTTCTGTATTCTTTCTGTCGTGTTGAAACTGGGTCCTATTTTCCTAAGCTAAGGCATCTCGGTGAACACTGAGAAGCATCCCAGTTGTTGAGTTTGGCAAGGGCTCCTCTGCAGTGACAGCTGTTATTTAGTTCCCGTGCTTGGCTATGGAGCCCTCTTGAAGGAATCTAGTGAAACAAATCAGGCAGTCTGGAGGTTGCCACAGTCAAGGCTGTTTTAGGGGTTTGAGGCCTCATGGCTCTAATCTCATTCGTTGTGCAGAGCCCAAATTGCTCTATGCATGTGGCTCTGAGGGGGAAAACGCCTTTCCTTCAAACCCAGGCAGCAGCCAGTTTGCAACAGTCTTTATAAGCTCAGGATGATATATTCCTGTCAGGCATTGGCAAGTGGATTAGTTTATTATTAAACTGCTAGTCCTATCGCTTGTTGGCTTTAACCCAACAACCCAAAGCAACGGCCTGTGCTGTGGGGACGGCCCCCACGTTCTGGGTGGCTTGTGCTGCGGGGAGTGGGCACGGGGCGTTCTGCAGGGCTGACCCCTAACTGCAATTTTGTTTGTTTTAATAACCGCTGCCTGGAGAGCCCTCCAAAGTGACTGCACTGCCCCTTTTAATCAATCAAAAGTTTCTCAGAGCCTGGCATGGGGCACTTGCTATTAGTTTTGTGTTTACTTTTGAGGTAAAAAATAGAGCACTTTATTTACATTTGGAAATCTTCTGTTCTTGAGCATGGAGTCTAAAGTACAATGTAGAATTCTTTTTCAGCCCTGGTCAATGCTGGCTCTTACTGCTAGAGCTTCTGGCTGATGTGGCTCCACCAAACAGGTATCACTGGTTTTGTTTTGTTTTGTTTTTCAGCTCTGTCACTTCAGCCAAACTGAAAATGAACTTTCTTTTATCCAAAACCAAAAAATTCTCTGCCTGGGCAGCAAAGATTAGAAAGGTCATCCCCATCTTATCTCCTATTTGAATCCCTAAAGGCAATTTGACCTTAGAGAGCCTGAGAGCATACAGCAGAAGGTGAAGGGGGAAGTAAGATACTCGGATTTGTCCTCCTCTTTACTCACAGGAGCAAACTTACAGTTGCGAGAGTGCTTTTAAGGGATCATCATTCAACACATTCAGTTTTCAACGCAGTGACTGGAAACGGGTTGGCTGCTCTCTGGATTGCTGTCTTGACCTAGGCCAAGTTTTGTGTTGCCCTCCCAGTCGCCAGCCCACGTGACTCCCCAACTGGCCTGCGGGGCAGAGCTCTGCTTCCCAGGCCTGCACCGGTGATGGACTACAGAATGTGCCAGTGGGATATGCATCTCTCTGGTAGTTTCCTCTTGAATAAGTAGTTGTGATCTGGGTTTCTTTGTTAGGGTAGAAAATGTTTTTTTCCTTCCCTCTGCTTTGCATTAGTAAGTCCTGCTTCCAAACTTGCAAGGCATATGCAAATGCTTGGAAGGTAGCAACTTTCTAAATGGAGATTATTGATAGAAAGTGTATGACTTGGGTGAATGAGACAGTACCCCCACACCCATCTTACTCTGCTGGCTACAGTACTTCCTTACTTCCTTCTGTCCTTCCCTGGGAATGGGTCTGTTCTCTCAGTGATGCTTCCAGAATGAGTTCTGCTGTACCAGGAGCCATTAAAATACACCTGATGAAAGATATAGTAGTCATTTTTATTAACAAGTGCTAGAGCCAGAGGAAAATACGAGTATTCACATGCTATTAAGTTTTTAAGGATAATTCAAGTCTCTGATACATTTTTGTAAACTGACTGTGTTGCTGGGCAGCACGTGGGCAAATATATATGGGCAAAGATGGGCAAAAAAGCCCATATATTTTATTTGCATTGTCATTTTCTGGCAACTTATACTAGGTATCTAATTCTGTTGTCTGTAAACTGCTGATACATATTACTCAAACTCATTGAGGCAAAGGAAAAAAAAAGTAACAATATTTAGAATCAATACCCTCTTGTGAGCCAAATCCTCAGTAACTTAGGCAGTGATTTCTTGTGAGGATGACTTGCTTGTTTGCTATGGTTTGAGGAGTTTGTTCACTACCTTGATGTCTCTTGACACAGAGTAGCTTTCTTGTTTCCCAACCATGGGCTGCTGTCACAGGCAAAAGTCTTTGCTAGTCTCTGCTCTTTGTGCTGGAGGTGAGGGAGTAATTTGGCTTCCCAGCCTGTGTTTATCAGCTGTTTCACGGAGATATCTGGATGATGTATGAATAATTTGTGAGATTTTGCCTACCAGAAATGAGACAGATGCCATATAGATCACAGAGTCTTCATTTTCTGTGTTTCTGGCCTGAAATGGAGCCAGCTGTGGTCTGTAAGAGCACTTTTTGGGGTGGTCACAAGTATGCTTCTTGCCTGTTCCGCCTACCTCCCATTTTCATTGCAGCACAGCAGTCAACCCAGAATATTTTCTGTGCGTGTGTTAATGGGGGAGCCATCAAGGGCTGTGCAGAGAGTGTGAGTAACCTAGATGAAAAGCCTCTAGCCTCTCCAGTGTGAATGGATCCCAGCCGTTGCAAAGACCTCATTCATTTCTTGGCAGTAGCAGCAAAACAGCCAGTACAATGAAGATCTGGGGACATGGCCTAAATATTTCCTAGCCCTTAGCAGTACAGATATGAATTGCATGAATTCAGAGGTTTATTGTCAACCTGACATACGTGGCATTTGTGTTTTTTCCTCTCGATGTTACTATTGAACCACACCAATTACATGATTACAGTACACTGTGTAAGATACGCTGCCTTTCTATATATAATATGCTTGTGGTGGAGTGGTAATTACGTCCACTGTGAAAAGGCACAAGCTGACTGTTAGGATGCCCACGAATTAGGGGGCAGGCGGCAGGCCCTCATTACAGATTTTAATAGCTTTCTGTAATAAAAGAAAAAAGTGTGTGTGAGGGGTGCCATATATAAGATTGAGCAATTAAAGATACTTCATAACTATGCGTGAAATATACTCTATTATAATTCATATGAGTGCTTGGTGTTGTATTAAGCAGCACATCTCTGCTGTGGTAAAATTTAATTTGCTGCCACGTAACTGCGTGCATAGCAACTGCTGAGGTAATGACTGCGTTTGCTGCAGCTCTCGTCCTTTCTGCAGATGCATGTAATAAACCTGCCATAAATAGGCTGTAGCTGTCATGTGGCCGTGGTGTAGGAGTCCCGGTGAGGCACAGCGAAGCCACAGTGCGCGCAGGTGAGTAGATCACGTGCAAGGATGTGGAGGAAGACACGCACTGTGCAGTTGGGCAGGGCTGTTAGTTGCGTTGCGGGCATCTTTCCTGCCCTCCTGAGAGTCCCACCAGGCTGTGTTGCCTGCGCCGGCCCTGAGGAGCCCTGCTGAGCAGCTCTGGGTTGGGAGTTAGGACTGAAGCAGGAGATGGATAGCACCTGTAGCAGGATTTTTCACTGTCCCCTTGAAATTAGCCGATAAATTGAGACAGGCTGAGAGGAGATTTGATCAACATGTTCAAGTACCTGAGGAGTGATTGTAGGGAGGATGGGGCCAGGCTCTTTTCCGTGGTGGCCAGTGACAGTATGAGGGGTAACGGGTGTAAGTTGAAACACAGGAAGTTTAATCTCCATGTGAGGAGGAACTTCTTTATTGTGAGGGTGACAGAGCACTGACTGCCCAGAGAAGTTGTGGAGTCTCCTTCTCTGGAGATCTTCAAAACCCACCTGTGCCACGTGCTCTAGGTGTCCCTGCTGGAGCAGGGGGGTTGGACTAGATGATCTCCAGAGGTCCCTTCCAACCTCAACCATTCTGGGATTTCTGTGAAACCAAGGTTGGCTAATGATAATCCAGATCCCAGTACCGTGCATTCTGAGAGGCAGACCATAGGAGCATGTTGATTTTTCCTGAGTGCATTTTTAGAAACCACGATTCAGATTTCCTTCCTCCACCCTCCTGTATATACCATTACAGTGGTAAGTGGCTCCTTGGGCCTCGTGATGATGGCCATTGTTGCGGGTGCTGTGCTTCCCCTTCTTGTTAATGTTCGGGGACTTCGATAGGAGATCTGCGCTATTTTGTTATTTTTCTCGGAGCTCCATCCCCTGGAATTCCATGCTAATGCAAGAGCGTTGTCTTGATAATCGACGACTAGACTTTGCAATTGGAAATAGGGTCAGCATTTACATTACTATAAGAGCAAATGTTGGGATACAAATGACTTCATGAGTTTGCTCAGTGGCAGCTCCTACGTATGCCAGGGGAGAGCAAGCGATAGAATACAGGCTAGCTCTGGCTTTGAGGCTTGATAGCTCGAACAAAATAAGCAGATTTATGATGCTTTTAATGGAATATTAGCCTTTCCTGAGAGTATGTTTTTAAGTACTGTCTGTCTCGGAAAAGTACAATGCGTTCTATGTGATGGGTCAATTTTAGCATGTTTTTTCCTTGTAAAATATGACATGTTCCGGCAGGATATGGACATGTTGGTGCTCGTAGCACCAATATTTGTTAGCAGGAATTTAATGAAATCATTTGTTAATTTTCTATCTTCACAAATGCATCAGCTTAAAAATCAGTTTGATATTAGATGATGCCAAAAAAAGCATCATGACTCTGATATGTGGTTGATTATCAGATTGCAGAGCATGGGGGTGCTATCTCAGTAGCTATTTTCTACAAACAATTGTCATAACAATGTAACTGGTGCAGAAAATTTGTTAATGCTTTTTTGTATATGTAGGAAGATTCACTTAGCAGTAAGGATTATTCTAAATATGACTTTTCTTTAGCTTTCTTTTTAGAGGAGCTATCTCGAGACTATTCTGCATATACTTTTATTTTAACTCCTCACTTTCTTTTATGGCAGCAATCTCAGGATAAGTCTGAGGAAAGCACAATTTTATTTTTTGAAAGAGCAAATTTTTTTGTCTGTTTGCAAGATTTTTCTGTCTGAAGTTAGTGTCATTTTTTCATGAAACCCATTGTTCTGAACCAGTTTTTTTAAATCACAAAACATACTTTTTGGAGCAACATGGAAAAGAATATTTTCATTGCTGCAAGAATTGCTGTTAGTTAGTTTGCATGCAATACCCTGGGCTGAACTTGGTCTGTTTGCCTTTAACTGCGATTGCCATTTAGCCCTTGCTTGTGATTGTGTTAGTTGTCAGTAATTGTGTTTGCTGTCTCGGCTGGAGGCTCTGATGAAGAATGCTTGGAACTGGGGCATTACACAGATAATATCAGGATGAAACAGCTGCAGCTTAATCATAATGATATATGCGTGGGCCTGGAGAGCTGCATATTCTGGAAATTTTTATTACACTTAATTCCTATGTTTCACCTTTTTAGGAAAAAGAAAATCTCTCTCTGCAATTGAAAGAAATAGACATAAAATTATAGTAATAAGTATTATGAAACAAATCTCATAGCCTCCCTGCTTTAGGGAGGAAGTGGTATTTGTTTGTTTTTGCCTCAGGTGAAACTCTTGGCAATCTCCTAATTTTTCTGATCTTTTAGATGTCTAGACCTGAGTGTCTCATGTTGCAGCTGGAAAGCCCAGGGCAGGGAGGGTATTGGGGCTGTCAGTCAGAGCTGCTGCAGCAGCAGAGAGCGCTGCCCTGCTCTGAGGTTGCGCCGTCTGTGGGAGGGCCTGCGTGTGCTGAAATCGGAGAGGCTTTTCTTATTACTCTGGGATCAGTTTTTTCCCCTCTTTGTCCTCAGAAAACAGGCTGGGGATTTGACAAATTTCAGTCTCATATGGCCTGATATGTTGGAACATTTCTTAGATATTGCTGGACTGGTAACTTTGTGAGAAGTGTAGTTTCTTTTAAATAGATGCAGGCTGAGTAATGCAGTGAAAGATTATGGATAGTAAATACTCGTAGTATGCTCTAATTCTTTGCTATTGCATTGGCCAGACCTTTGGTGAGAAAATCTGATGATCAAGGTAACATTTTTAAAAAAGTAAAAAACGAGTAGCAGAAAGGATTAAAACAGCACACATTGGGAAGTAACGAAGCACAGGTGCAGAAGACAACTACATCCTTAGCTGATAGACATTTTTATCACAGCTGCAAGTGATAATCAGAAATGTTTTTAAGGATGGTCTTGGATTTCTGCTTGTTGGAGAATCTTATATGGTAGGTCTGCTCAAATTGCTTTAATTTTTTGAAATAAATCAAAATGAAGTTATTCCCAGCCATTCCTTTCGGTACATACAGCTGTCTTCCTGAATTTGCCTTATGTAGGCAAGTAAGTCTACTTTCATGGGGAAGCATCTTTCTTACTTGAGGATTTATTTCCAAAAAAAAAAAAAAAAAAAGCTTCTTGATGAACAGTGCTGTGGATGACAGGACTCTGTGGAGGTGCTGGTTCTCTTGCTTTACTCTCGCGAGCTCTGATGCCCCAACTGTGTCTTTGCTCAGGCCAACCGGGACGCAGTCATCAGCCGTGCCCCGGAGCAGCAGGATGACCGAGCCGTCAGCCTCCAGGATGCCTCTGCAGTCTATGACCTCCTCAGCATCACGCTGGGCAGGAGAGGCCAGTACGTCATGCTTTCTGAGGTACCTCCTCCTGAGTTTTGCTCAAACTCCCACCCAAATTTTGCAATAAAAACCTGTATTTTGGTAACAATTGTTGACTGTTGGTAGGGGAAGTGAAGAGGAAGCGAAGTACATGGTGATTACTGGAAATCGCTACAGATCTATGAAAGAACAAGCCAAAAATATGCATAGAAATGTTTGAGACACCAACTAATTTGAATGTAGGCACTTGAATAGAGTGGCCCTGATTTGGAGTGATGCTGTGTCCCAGCAGAGAGACATATCTGAGAAGACGAAAAAGGTCTTTTTTATTTTAAAACAAACAAACAAACAAAAAAAAATCCAAAACAAACAAACAAAACCCCTGGTCACTCCTCATGTGATTGCTGAGCTGTGCTAAGGCAGTAGGCTTGGAAAAAAGATGTCAAAAAAGAAGAATCTGACACTTCTTTCAATATCCACTTCTCAGTGTTTGGAAAGAGCCATGAAGTTCGCATTTGATGAATTCCACCTCTGGTACCAACTTGCTCTGTCCATGGTCGCTTGTGGAAAGGTAAGTTTCAAACCAAAAGAGCTAAAAAGCTCCTTTTTACCTCTGCCAGAGTGTACCTGGATTAATTGGATGTGCAGAATCATGTATTTGGGCTTGGTAAGGCAGCCTGTGTTAAAGGCTGATACCCTTGTTGCAGACTGCAGTTGTGCTTTATAATTAGTATCAGTTTTGCATGTGGGATTTTGTGTATCAGTTATTCGCATAGTGTTTGCTCCTCGATGTCAAGGGGAAAACAGACTTTGTGTGTAACTGTGGACTGCAGAGCAGTATGCAGTTGTCCAGTTTCTCTTTAGATTAGTCATAAATGCGCCTAGAAAAGAAAGATTATGTTTGAGAGACTGTCATCAACTTACACTGTGGTTTTGAGCAGTTGACTTAACCTCTCTAAGCTGTGGCTTCTCCATCTGATAAAGGAATTTTAAATGTATTTTTTTGAAGACGTATTGTGAGTATTAATTTTCTGAAGTTCTTTAATCTTGCTATAAAAGATACTATAGAAAAAAAAAGCCTGTGTAAATGCATGTGCAGGCATGTGTTTTAATATGCTTGTTTGTTGCTTTCTTTTTGGTATAATATTTGTTAAAGCTGCCACTGAGATGAGTAAAGTCTTCCTGCAAAAGACATTCAGAGGAAGTACGAGCTTTTCTTTATTTGCCTTAAAAGTGGTGGGATGTTGCAGGATAAACAAATCCTTTTAACCTGTTCATTCCAGCACTGCACAGAACACTTCACATGCCCTTATGCTCTCTGCCCAGCGCGTATAAGGGGTGGGCAGGGACTACCAGTTACTTTATTTAAGGGACTGCTTGTTGGGCAAGTGATAACTGCTTTTGACCTTTTATGGATCTAAGCTGTGTTGGAAGTAGCAGCCTTGGAGTGAAAGCTGGACGTAAGTCTACAGTGTCATGCTTTGGGAAAGTCATTGCCATCTAGTGATGCAAAAATGACAGCAGAGCTTGCAAGAGCTCTGAAGGGATTCCTTGGCTTTTATGAGCACAGACAAAACCTTATCTGGAACACTGGCTGTTGCCGTGCTTCATATTTCAAGAAAATGGGAGTCTCAATAAAAAAAAAAAAAAAAAAAAAAAAAAAAAAAAAAAGAATGGGAAGGGTGGCTGTAGGTATAGGAGATAGAACTGTGGATTTTTTTTTTCTTTTTTAACCCCGAAGGGGGAAAAATGGGTCCAAGAGAAATAAGTCTTCAAGTGCTACTGCAAGAGACTGTTAATCTTGTCTGTGATGGACAGGACAAAATGCGATGGCTTTCAGCTGCAGCAAGATGAGTTCATGAGGCACAAGTACAGGAGGAGTGGCACCCTGGAAAAGGATCCCGATCACCCAGAGGGGCTGTGTGGTGTCTGTTGCTGGAGATCTGTGGAATATCCTAGACAAAATACCAGTCAGCAGTGATCCCCCTGTCTGTGCCCCTCAGAGTGGACTTGAGGGCCTGGACTGGGGCCTCATGAACTCTGTGTTGCGACTCGGTGGTTATTTCATAAATCAGCTATATCTGTTACAAGCAGAAAGGAGATACCAAACCTCTGACAGAGCAGATAGTCACTGCAGGAACAGCAGGGAGCTGAAGGGAAATGTTTTGTAAGAGAGAGGCTCACAAATTCCTGTAGGGATTCTTGACAAGTGTTTTGAAACGCGATTATAAATACAAAACTGGTAACTAGGCTCAATCACATGCAGGGAAACCCAAAGCGACTGCTGGTAGAGCCAAACAATGAGCTTGGTGCCCTGGTGCTAATACCTCACGCCGGCCTAGGCCTACGTCAGGTGCTGGCTTTAGAAGTCAGGTCCAGCTCCCCTTGGCATTCAGCTGGAATTAGCACGTAGCTGCCCTGGGGGCCTTTGCAAATCCTCAGGATACCTGATCTCTTGCTCCTCAGGACAACAATGACAAGACAGGCTAGGAAGGAAAGGCACATTAGCTTCCCATAAACACTGCCAATAAAGGCCTTTCCGGATGGACAACCTGGTTCTCCGGAGCGGACGAAGCTGCAGCTGCAGTAATCTGCTGGAGAACAAATCTGGATATATAGCTGTTGATGGCTGAGGCGGTAGCTGAATAGGGAGAGTAATTATGGTTTAATCTTAAACCAGTAGGAGTAGAGATGGGGCCTGCTATTTTAGCCTCTAACAGGTTGTGTGCTGTATGATCTTCTGCCTCCCTAGTAGATGTTACATTTGTGGTATGAAAAGAAAAAAAAAAAAAAAAAAAAAAAAAAAGGGGGGGGGGGGTGGATTTGAGAAAAAAATGCACAGAGCAACTCAAGTAACTGTCCTTACAATGGTCCCTTCCTTTCAGTCTTTTTAAATGTCATGTGTGCCTGCCTGAATTTTAAATATTTAAGTGGGTAAAATGGCCTGATCTTGGCAATTGATGTAACAGCTCTAAATGTTCTAAGCCTTATATGGGGCAGAGGGAATTCCCTTACCCAACAATCCCATCTGTGCAGCATTTTATTTCTAATCCCAAAGTATTCCCTGAGGATTCCTGCCGTATACTCCGCAATGCGTCATCTTGCTAATGGGAGATGTGGCATACATTTTTACGCTGTTTTGCAGCCTGCTAGCAGGACAGAGCTCACTTCAATGTGAGCACTCCAGTGCAGTGGGAAGAGCTGGTGAGGAGGCAGAATTCAGAGCACATTTGTGCTTTTTCAGGTAAAATACCTGTTTCCACCTGTCTGTTGCAGACAATTCCTGATCTCTCATTCTTGGTAATGAGGTCTCACATCCTGCAGTGCTCCTTGTTCTGCAGGATCATGCTCATAAATGTTGAATATGACAGGAACCCTTTTGTCAATTTACAAATGCTGGAAACTTCACTTTTTCTTTAAAACATATTTTTATCATTTTAAGTCTGCCCTTTAAAAAAAAAAATTTTGTAAAGCCTGTCTTGCCCTCTCTTCCACACTACATTTCACTTATTTTACTTTGCATATTGAACTTTTTCAGGTCAAATCAATTGAATTGAACTTCAAACTATTTTCACTCTCTCCCAGGCAACAAATTGCCAATGGTGGCTGTCATTTTTCACAAGTGCTCAGTCTGAATGTCAAGTCAGCCACCTAGGCTCATTACTGTATGTATGCTTGAGTTTACACATTATTTGAAAAAGCATGTCTCTTAACAAAAATAGACACATCACTTTAGAAAGTTCTTACAGAGCAAGTGATGCCTTAGGGCTTCATAAAACAGTGAATGAGAAAGCTCAGAGAAGCATAACCTTCCTGTCTGTCTTCTATCCACTTAAGTGGTAGAAATAATGGAGTGACAGTGATTTTGCTTTCCTATGCTTCCCCATGCCTTGCATACTGAGGAAGATAGTGTGCTTTGGTTGGTTTTAAATTTTGTATTAGAGGAGGTATTCTTGGCAATGTATTTATAGTGAATTGTGTGTTTTCTGAACAAAAGGAGTATATTTTCTACAGAAGACTTAAAATCCAGCAAGAAATTTGCAAGACTTGTAGGCAGTCTTAGATAAAGCTCTGAGAAAGCCTAGGCAATGGCAGAGATACCTACTTTAAGAAGAGTATCCTGAGAGGCCCTTTATTGCCAAGCACAGTGCTTGATAGACAAGGAAGATGCTTAAATCAGTGGAATGCAGCACCCCTGTTCTTCCATGCTGCTGCTGGAAGCCTGGAGGCTGAACCTCCCAGCTGCTGGAGGTGGCTCCTGCTGGTGGTAACCCTTAGGATTCAATAGTGTGACCAGCAGAGGCTGGGTGGCTCTAGCAGCTCCCTGGCCCTGCCGCCTGCAGGCAGGCTGCAGTCTGACGGGTGAGTGGGGCGAGAGCCCAAAGCTGATGTCCTGCAGAGTCCTCAGCCTCTGGGATGAGCTGCTGACCCGCTGCCAAATGAGTGAACACATAAACAGTTCTTCAGAGAGCCTTCCGCACCAGCATCCCTGTCTGTGCCGTTAGCTGCGATGCTGCCTGAGGGAAAGGTGAGCTGGTAACACAGGTGGCATGGTTTGAGCAATACAAAACAGTGGTAATCTCTCTTCTGACTCCCAATCCAAGGAGACAGAATTTGTGTTTAATGACATTAATATGTAGCTTTTCTATGGGTGAGAGGAGTATCTTTAGGGGTGGCTGTGAAATTACTCTATGAATGCCATATACCTACCTGTTCTCAAAGCTCTGGGTACCAAAACTGAGTTATTCAACTCTGAACAGTCTTACAGGGATCTTTCATGCCCAGTGGGCTTGGGTTCTGTAGGGCTTTTAGAGTATTCACTGCATAGAAGCATCTTTCATGCATAAATATAATGTTTCTGCTTGATTAGTGGATTAGAAGCTGTAGGGCTGCCTGTATGTGCCCTGATGGGAGGCCTGGGAAGCAATGCAGTCTGGGGTCAGCTCAGGGCAACCCAGAGTATCTGCTGGGAGGGGATGGACCTGCTCTTGTCCTCTGTACTCACGTAGGGGCTGAGGAGCAGGAAGAGGTGCATAAGGCAAGAGCTACGTTGAAAGGGCGGTGGGGGGGAGTCCCTGTGAGGGGCGAGTGCTGCTAAGGCTGGGGCTAAGCTCTGCCTGGTGCGGTGCAGAGGGAGTTGGTCCTGTCCTTTGGGGCCTCTGCAGGAGGACAGGACTCCTCTCCACTCGGGTTGGCCTTGCGGTGTTGCTGCTCCGCCCTTGGCAGGGAGCTGAACGCAGGCTCGCGTGGGGCTTGCGCTGGTGCTCGCAGCCTTCCTAGAATTTTGAAAGCAGCCTTGCACATGTGTGAACTTTGATTTTTGGAGCTCCTCGAGTTGCACACCAGCTGCAGCCAAATAATGGGCAGCTAATATCCAAGCTGCTCCCATCTGTGTTGCACCCAGAAAAAGGAATACTTCCCCTTACTTAAAAGTGTGGCAAAAGCACATGCATTTAACAGCTTCCAAGGAGCTTCAAGTTTGACTCAGACATGCCTATAATGCTGACATACAGCTCTCCAGAAGGCTAGAAGGAAAGTTATAAATATATTTGATACATGATTCCGCAGCAA